TCTTAATCGAGTGAGAGCTCAGCTTGCCATGTAATGCATCCGGCCAATGTAAAGGTAGGTTGGAGTACAAGGGCAGATCTCAGGGCTGCCACCCAGGCCCTGGCCCCTGTTTTCCGTCTCATGTGCCCACACCCCGAGGCCTACCCCTCAGACCCTGGATGTGCCCTGGATGTTCCAATTGATCTCCATCTCACCTCTCTCTCAGACTCCCTGTACCATGGCACTTAACAGCCCTTCCCCAGAGCATTAGACATGCTTAGGTCCCTGTGGCTTTCCTGAAAAGTGTAGTGGATGCATCTCTGCTGCTGCTGCTGCGAGAGATTCAGACGAGCCACTTAACAACAAAGGGACTGAAATGTTCTTTGACAGAGACCAGGGTGTGGTGCTTACCGAGCCCTCCTGACCCTGGAGATGGACGCGGGCATGGATCACCACCTGCTCGGGAAGAGCAGCAGGGAATGCTGGGCTGAGGGGTTGAGAGCCTTTGGGTTTCTGGAAGTAGCCTGTGGACTCTGGTTATACCCTGCAGCTATCTCGACTGGTTTGGGTGATGGCAGATCCTCTGACTGCAACCCAAAGGGACGGTGGGTATGTTGGGGGTCTTTATATGACAGTGCCAGGAGCGACCCTGGAGTCCTGGTGGGTACCTGAGGTGTTGGGAAGGCAGCCCAGGGTCTTGTTCATGCTTGATGTATGTTCTCGAATCTGAATCCTTGGGTTTCCGTTAGTTGGTTTGTTTTCGTTTTTTGTATGCTTTTTTGGTTTGCTTTTTGCTTGATACTCACAGGCTACACCTAACTCAAAACTTGAGGATGGAGCAGTACGAGGGATGGGCCCTGGACCTCCAGGCCCTGAACTGCCTTCCTGACCCGGAATTCTCTGGGCTTTCTGCTTGTTGTTTAGGGTGATTATGGTTGAAGGCCGAGGGTGGTTTATGCTCAGTGATCCCCAGAGGCTAGTCCTGACTAGCTCAGAAATCTCTGCTAGCAGTGCTGGGGGAGGGAACCCTATTTGGTGCTGGGGATTAAACCTGGGTCAGCCATGTGCCAGGCAAGTACCAGGCAAGCCCCTCTCCTGTCTCTCAGGCCCCCAAGCCTCAGTTTCCATGGCGGGGCCACCTTAAAGGCAGACCAGGTAGACCCTGCGCTAACACTTCAGCTCAGAGGCGGAAGTGCTGAGCCAAGGCCATTCATTGGTGACAGAAGCCCAGAGCTGAGGTCTCCTGCCTTGTGGCTCACGCTCTTTCTGTGCAGTCCGTGGGAGGAATTTCTCCCTGTGTCTTGGACTCTGAGCCCCCCCCCCCCTCCATGAGACATTTTCTAAGGAGCCGTGAGAGCAGCTCTGTGCAGGCACTGAGGGAATCATCCACCAGCCCCAGGGCAATACAGCAGAGGGAGCAGTGGCAATGGTGTGTGTGTGGAGGTGCATGTAGGGACAGATTCTCCGGGACCCCCAGCTTGACTCCCCCTTCCCAACCACTGGCCAAGCAAGACTCACCTGCTGCTCTCTAGCTGTGGGACCCCCCCCATGGCCCTGGGTCAGGAGTCAGGAGGGAGGGGCTGGGGGCCCCTGGGGGCTCCTTATTACCCAGATGCCCGAGGCAGCCACCTCTGAGAGCCTGTGCAGATGAGAGCAATAAGGCAGCCCCTGCTCACCCAGGTTTTATTAAAGCCAAAGCCTCAAGCATATTTAATGAGGGCAGGGGTGGAAGCACCCAGGGCTGAGCCCTCCTGAGGAAAAGCACAAGGCGAGGGGAGAACTGGCCAGAGGGTTGCAAACTGCAGGAGAGGCTGCCTGTTTGCTTAGCTCCCTTCTCTCTCTTTACTCAAAATTAACCTATTTGTTTTCCTTTATCAAATAAGCCAGTTCTCTGCTGTCTGTGCATGCAAGGTAATGCTATTCCCTGGAAACAGTGAGCCCAGAGCAGCCAATTTGCCAACAAGCCCTGTGTAGGCCAGTCACATGAGCAGCTGGTCCCAGCCAGGACTCTCACCAGCTTGTGGACGGAGGTTCCTGAGCTTGGTCCCTTTGCCTGCCCAGGATCACTCATGGGAGTGGGGTTCAGTATTGGGTTTGGGGAAAGGAATTCTGCCTTTCCCCAACCCAATACTGCCTTCCCCCAACCCAACTCACACTGCCAACTCAGCACTGCCCCCTCCCGTGCCCCCAGCTGCCACCCTGCTATTGGAAAGGGCACCCCTGCAAGGATGAAGGGGGCTCTTGCTGGATTTGCTCGCTCCCTGAAGAAACCATTCTTGTTTTGTTTGGGGGCCACACCCAGCGGTATTCAGGGCTTACTCCTTGCTATGTGCCCAGGGATCACGCCTTGTGGGTATCAGGAGAACATATGGGATGCCAGGGATTGAACCCAGTTCGGCTGCATACAAGGCAAAGGCCCTACCTGCTGCACTATCACTCCAGTCCTGGAAAACCATTCCTGAGAGACTTCATAGAGCACCAGGAAATCCTGGTTACCCTGAAATATACCCCTGACCCAGATCCATCTCCTCAGCCCCAAACGAGACTGCCCCCCTCCCCAAGCTCCCTGCTGCACTGGAGTGTGGAGCAGTAGGCAGGGAGGAGGACAGCAAGTGGGGCTTTTTGCTCCTCCTTCTCAGAAGGACTGTGGACTCTTCCAGATTGTTCCTCAGGGTGATATTTTGTCCAGAGATCTGAGAAGAGCATGCTGTGGGGGTTCTTCTGTCCATCCTGTCCATGGGGATGTGTGTGGTCCCTTTCATGTGGCACCCCAGATGCACCAGCAAGTGAAGGGCAAAGCTTTGGCCCTTGGGTCTCCATTCACCCACCAGGGTGGACCACCACAGTGCTCAGATGGGATTCAGTGTCACCTGTGAGTGGCTCAAGGGCTACAGCTTGGACCAGAAGTGCGTGTGGCACTGGCCTATAGGGTGCCTCGGATTGGACAGGCATTTGGGAAGCAAAGTTAATCCCAATCCCATGGAACAAAGACATGGAGAGACAGTGGGTGAGGCGGTGAGGCAGGGACCGGCCCAGGAGGGTCCCTAGTAAGAGCTTATAAGGGCCTTGAACCCAAAAGCCAAATGAGGGGAGCCAGAGAGGGTTTTGGGGCAGCAGCCTTAAGTAGTGAAAGCCCAGCACCACCAGTTTCCTACTGCAGGTGAATCCTCAGGAGAGGCATCTCATGGAGACTCACGAGCCTGGCAGAGGTGGACACGATGACCACCATCCCTGCCACATGAGAAGCTGGTCATGCACCCACCAAACCATATCTTGGAGCTGTTTCCCGTCTTCTCGCTCTTGGGGACTTGAAAGACAAGAGCCAAGGGGGCTGGGTGGGGATCCCGATACCCTTCTGACTGGCCAGACCCCAGGGGATTGTGTACGTGGAGGAGTGGCATCTCCTTGTCAGAGCCTGGTGCCGCCAGCAACCTCTGTGGAGACAAGTAGATGAAAAAGAGAGTGGGTTGCAGTCTGAAGTCAGAGCGGTCAGGGTCACTCAGACCCAGGGACAGCTGGAAGAGTGAACACTGTCCAGCTGTGTCTCCAGCCCATTGTGCATGCCTGGGCAAGGCTCTGCTACCTGCCTTCCTCTGTGCAGGGAAGGAGACAGCAGTCCTCCCAACAGACCCGAGCGCCCAGTGGAAACGGAGCTTGATGGGGTTGGTCTCTAATCCTTGGCTCTGCAGCGACGGGGTGGGGCTTTCTCCACAGTGCGTCCAGCTCTGTCGGCCTTCAGAGGCGCTGGAGAGATTCTTCCTGAGCTCCCCTGGGATTGATCGGAGTTGGGGGCAGTTAAAAGAGTTTCCAAGAGGAGGGAAACATGAGTGTTCGCGCCACCTGGGGGAGAGTGCCGGAACTACACACTCCGGGAGTCCTTAGTGTTTGGGCTATTCTTCTATACAGTCTCCAGTCCCAGGTGGTTCACTGTGGGAAGAGACATAATCCCTGGGGTTCCCTCGTGAAAGTCCCCTGGCTTTCTCAGACACCACCTTCTCCAGGATACTGACAAAACCCCAGCAGCAATGAAAGCCTCCTGTTTCCCGGCCTTGTCTTACCCTTTTTCCCTGAGTTACTATCTAGCTTTGTTTATCCACCTTCTTCACTGTGCTTTTGCTCCGGAAATGTATACCCTCCGTGGGAGCAGGGCCTTTCATTTTATTCTATCTACTCTAGCATTCGGAGTAATGCTGAGTGCACAATTTGTGTTGAAGGAATGATCACTATTTGCTGAATGGATGAATGAACACGGAAATGAATGGGCAGATGATGGTCCCCCATAAAATCCAAGCCTCAAACCTCCACCTTCCACACTCCAGATCAAGGTCCCCTAAGAATGAAACCTCTGTCCCAGGGCCCACCCCTCCCTTCTCCGGTAAGGAGCAGGAAGCAGAGGCTCCCCGGTCAGGTACATGTCTTCTTGGGGATTCTCCTGTTCTTTGTCTCTCAGAAACTTGCCGGAATAGGCTTTTATGGCTCTGATGGTTCCAGAGACATGAGAAGCCACAGTGCCCACATCATGTGGGGTGCATGGTTGCAGCATGATCCCTTTAAAGAGGAAGGACCAAGTGGAGTGGCCAGTGTCCTTGGCCTGCAGCATGTCACTGGCAGGGTCCTCATTCCTCATCTTTCCACTGCAGACTGGAACTTCTAAAGCCCAGGGATTGACAAAGAATGTCTGAGTCAATGACAGGGAGCTAGTGCTGGGTCAGGGTGTGTATTGCACAGGACTCTGGCATCCAGGTCAGGCAGGATGGAAGGTCAAAAGGACAAGTGGGCAGAAGGTGTCAGCGGGGAGCTAGAGGTCTGAGGCAGCGAGGAGTCAGTGACTGGCAGTCAGACTGAAAGACACAAGATCAATCAAAGAGTAATGTTGCCGTCATTGCCTTTTATACCCAGCAGGACCACGATTCTGTCTCAGAGACCTCACACACTTCCTCCCTGTCCCACTGCCCAGTGGACCCCCAGAGTCTGCACGGGGATGCTGCCCCTCATCTTCCCTCCCCTCTGCCTTTTTGCAGGAGAGCGTTGATTTGGGAGAGATCATGTTTTCCCTCTGCTACCTTCCCACAGCCGGCAGGCTCACACTCACAGTGATCAAGTGTCGGAACCTCAAGGCGATGGACATCACAGGCTATTCAGGTATGTCCATCCTTGGTGCCTTCCCTGCACAGGCATCTGGAGTGGGGGATGCATCCAGAGAGAAGGGGAGGCATCCAGGCTATGGAGAACAGAAAGCCCGGCACTAGAGGTCCATGTTTTGCCTTTGAATTCTAGCTGGGCATCTAGCAGTCCTCCCAACAGCCCCGAGAACCAAGGGTGCTTTGATGCTCCAGTTTCCTAATCTGAAGGAAAGCTTTCATCAGTAGCTTTCAGGATAAACAAGTTTGTTTCAAACATGTGGATGCTTGAGCTGTGCCAGAGACATAATAAGCACTCAGTCCCCATTAGCTATCACAATCATTCTTTCTTGTGGAGGGAGAGTGGAAAAAGTCAACATAGAAAAGGAAAACAGTTAAGCATCCTTTTTCCCCTAGTTTATCAGAGGCCCAAGGACCTGCAAAGGTTGGATTTGAGGGTGTAAATGTCTGTAGCCCATGCAACCCCATGGCAGTCCTGCAGACAGTTAGAGAACCAAAGTTACTGAAGAGGCAAGCATGTTGGTCTTTGAGTCTTCCTACAGGGTTTAGCACCAAGAGAGGTAGAGCAGGAGAAACAAGTCCTATCCTAGTAGCCAGAGGGTTGCTTTGTGTGGCCACTGCAGACTTGTCAGAATTCTGCACGTCTTTGTCTGAGAAGGTAGTGGAGTCTGGAAATAACTGAGGAGGAACCCAGGCCCTAAGGTCTTCCTGTCAGCCCAAATTAGCCTGGCGAGTGAAATGGGGGTGAAACTTCTTCCCCCGGAGCAGCCCAGCCAGAGCTGTGCTCAGAATCTGCTTTTCCCTGGAACCTCAACTCCTGCCTCAGGTGCCTTTGAGTGAGGATGGAAGTAGCTGGAAGACTTTTTTCCCCTTTTACTCATTCATCATTAATTTCCTACAAACCCTCTTCATAGAAAGACAGTTGCCACACAGGGGTGACCACCCGGGGTGGGGGGAGAGGGAAGATATCTGCTGCAATAGGAAAGAAGCAGTAATGGGCATGGGGAAAAAAAGGTTTCAGGGAAAGATATTTGGGCAACACCAATATTATGTGTGTTTGTTATTTTGGCCCCGGCCCCACCCAAGCCTCTGCCCCCAGCCTTCAGCCCCATCTCTCTGGCACTCAGGCTCCAGCAGCAAAGTTTCCCCTAAACTCTCAACTTCCACAGACACAACACATTCAACTGGGACGTGATGAGCTTAAAGGGCTTCGTTCAACCTGGGCAAAGCTCTTCAGCTAGTCAGCTTCTTCCCCAAATAATGACAACGTGGATTTAATTTTAATATAAAAATAAGTGTGTGCTAGGGGCACAAATTCAATGAGGACTCTCGAGGCTGCCAAGGGAAATGGGATTTTACTGCCCTAGTCCCTGCACTATCTCCTCCAGTATAATTAAACGATGTGCTGGAGAGAGCTTATGGAAGGCTTGGGGGTAAGCCTCAAGGCGGCTGCACAGGAGAGGTTTAGGGGGGAGAGAGTTTCCTCCTACTCATTTCCAACCCCAGCTGACCCTCTTTCCTGGGTTGGAATCCAAAATTAATCTCAGCTTGATTCTGAAAATGTGGGGTCCTCTTATCAGGAGTTTCTGTGTTTTGTTTTGTTAATTTTTGGCTTTTGTTTTTGGGCCATGCCTGGCAGTGCTCAGATGTTACTTCTGGCTCTGCATTTAGGAATCACTCTTGGTAGTGCTCAGGGGACCATATTGGATGCTGAGTATCAAACTCTGGTGGGCTACAAACAAGGCAAGTGTCCTACCTGCTATACTATCTCTCAGGCTCATTTTGTTAATTTTTTTTTAACCAGTGTAAGCAGGTGTCTGCAATAATACATGAAACAAAAGAAGCATTATTTAATAAATACATTTTGAGAACTGGAGAAATGAATGAATGATGACTGGACGTATTGCACTATGTTAAATTAAAATTAATTAAAGGCCCTCCCGTTGATCATCGATTTGCTCGAGTGGGCCCACTAACATCTCCATTGGAGACTTTGTTGTTACTGTGTTCGACATATCGAATACGTCACGGGGAGCTTGCCAGGCTCTGCCGTGCGGGCGAAATACTCTCGGTAGCTTGCCGGGCTCTCCAAGAGGGGTGGAGGAATCGAACTCAGGCCGGCCATGTTGGCTGCATGCAAGGCAAACGCCCTACCGCTGTGCTATTGCTCCAGCCCCATGACAGCATATATACCAAAGGCCTCCCAAACTACATTTGGGCATTATTGTTGTTTTTTTGAAGTGGGGGTGGAGGATAAACACCTTCAGTTGTTCTCATAACTGATTCCTGGCTCTGTGCTCAGGGATCACTCCTAGAAATACTCAGGGGACCATTCACAGTGCCTGGGATGGAACCAGAGCTGGTCATGTATTAAGGCAAGCATTGAAGCCCCAGAACTATCCGGTTCAAACTAGATCTGGTTCTGAGGCTGAGGCTGGGGTTGAGGTTGCCTTCAGTCCAGGCTGCTTTGATGCAGAACTAATTCAGGTAATGGAAGGAGTTTGAAAGTTGTCAATTCTTGGTTCACATGACATGGACCTCTATAACCATGAATCTTCCTATTCTTGAGCAAGTCAGGAACCAACCCACTCTCTACACATGTCTACTAGAACCAGGACAATGAAAAGAAAAGCGAATGGCAGTAGAAGGCTCAGTGAGCCACCAAGGTGGGGGATATGTTCTGCCACACCTGCTCTCTTCTACTCTGAGTCAAACTGGCTTTGGGGTCCCACAGACCTGAGCTCAAATCTTAGGCAAGACTTACAATCTTTACTAAACCTCCATTTCCCCTCTAAAGAAGAGATTGGAAATTGGAAGAGGGGGAAATATTTTTTTAATTTTTGATTTTATTTTTGTTTTGCTTTGATTTTTGTTTTTGAATCACAGTGAGACACATTACAAAGTTGTTGAGAATCAGGTTTTTGTTATCTAATGTCCCAACATCCATGCCTTCACCAGTGTATGTTTCTCACCAGCAATGTTCCCAGTTTGAAGGACAAATGTGAAGTTTAAACAACATGGTGCAGTGAATCCTTTTGCACAGGGTTGGCACATGTTAAACCTGAATCTTGGAGGTGCTCAGACCTCTGAGGCTGCTCATCAGCCCTAGGCTGCTGCTTAGACCATCAAGGGTTCTGAGGGTGGAGCAGACATCAGGGCTTTCTGCAGCTTTCCTACTGCAAACCACAGACTTTTGCCCCAGAGTCCCCTCAGAATCCATCTGCTTACCCCTGTTGAACATTGATAAAGTGGCTGGTTCAGACCAGGGAAAGGTGTCCATTGAATCTGATGAACTGGATGTGCTTCATGAGGGTGAGTAGACTTAGGGAAAGAAACTAAAAATCTCTAAGTCAGATCAAGTCATTCCCATGAGGGAATCAGACTCAACATGGTGGTTTAACACACATGATCTGCTCTGCCCGTTCCCCCACAAATCCAAGTCCTCTGTGGTTAAGACCCACATTGTCACATTGGCTTATTCATGTCTTCTGTACATGCCTACCAAACGCCTTTTAGATTGGGGTGTTCTGGCCAGAGTTCCCAGTTCACTCTAGCCTCTCCATGGCCTGGTGGGTACCCACGTGGTGGGAGACAGTGCCCTGGAATCTTTGCCCCTCCTGATGGCCACTTCTAGGCTGCTATTACCTATGTGCCACCTGCCCCGGAGTTGGATAGCCTAAATAGCAATTACGATGGCATCCAAGACACCTGCCCCGAGACACAATAGTGGTCACTTCCCTTAGATGAGGAGAAAATTTCAGGGTAGAAAGATGACCCTGAGCTACCCATTCAGATTACAACAAAAAAGGCATGGCCAAGAGACACAGGGGAACTGGGTAAAAAGCAGGTTCTCAGGAGGCATGGAGAGAGTCCAGGCCCCCACTGAGATATGAAATGCCAGCAGCTGCCCTGATCTCAGGGCCACCCCGAAGGGGGCGGGGGCAGCTCCCAAGGAAGCAGAGAACAGCCCTCTGGGAGCTGGGCGGGAGCATGAGACAATGGCCCTGGCAGCTTGCTGTCAGGTAGTGAGGACACAGGATTGTCGCTGTTCACTCGACTCTGACACACTGCAACGCCTTGGGCATTATGGAGTTCTATTTTTACTCCCCTTATCCTCTGGTTAATCATTTTGACAAAAGCCCCGGAGAAAAGAACTCCACATAACTGAAAGAAATAAAGTGTCTTGGTTGAGCCTGGCATCCTTTGGAGCCAGCCGGCCATCACAGTTTGCCGTGGACAGCAGAGCCACGGCAGGTGTCTGGGGGACAAAGGCCATTAGTGAAAGTCCATTAGGTGCTCTCCCAGGGACAATGAGGTCACTAACGAGTCTGTGTTTACTAAGCAGAGTATCCTCAGAGACAGGTGCAGGTGTGCTACATAAATACAAGGTGGGTTAGTTACTTCGACAACCACCGATGATCTGATGAGCCACAGTGGGTTGAAGGCTGCCAGTGATGTGCACAGACGTAGGTTTCACATGCTTCCTTCACTCCCCACCACCCCCGGTGGAACAGATCCATATGTCAAAGTGTCACTGCTCTGTGATGGGCGGAGGCTGAAGAAGAAGAAAACCACCATAAAGAAGAACACACTCAACCCTGTCTACAATGAGGCCATCATCTTTGACATCCCTCCCGAGAACATGGATCAAGTCAGCCTGCTCATCTCGGTGATGGATTACGATCGGTAGGTATGAGTGCCCTTGGCTCTCACCCCACCTCCAGAGCAGCTCCTTGACCTTGGAACTGTGTGCCAGGACTTGGGTACCCAGTCACCTGAAATATGTCCCCATTCAAGAAGGATACAGTAATTGAGGCCAAGCATGAGTTGTCCCAGGTAAATGCTCTGACTTTTCTTCCCAGCTGGTACATTGCTACCAAGAACCACCCGAATCACCCCCTATCCCTTCTTGGAGTTCTAGCTAACACTAAGTGCTGTCACCTGTCCTTTAAAATGACCCTCTCTAGGGGCTGGGGAGGTAACTCAGTGGTAGAGCTCTAGCCTTGCATGTTCTGGGTAAATAAATAAATAAATAAATAAATAAAATGCCTCCCTATTCTCTCCATTTTTGCTGTTATTCCTGTCTCCTGGGATGGGGCTGAGTGTCTTTCACCCTGACTCTCACCTTAATCCACCTTCATCACCCCTGCCCGGACCCAGCCAATATACAAAATATACCAACTATGCTGGATGTACAAACATACCAAAACTCCTCCCCCAAAGACCTGGACCAACCCTTAAGAACCTATGGTGCCAGCTCTTCCTCTGGACTCTCAGGCTTCCAGAATCCAGACCCAGCATTCCCACTCTGCTCAGCTTCCCTGTACTTCTCTATCCAGGCTAGCTCAAAAGCCCAGCCAGGATGGGTCCTTCTCTGCTACCCTTTAGAAGAAGGAAGCAGCAGCCAAGCAGGAAGGCAGCGATGTGGGACTGTTAGGCATCCACAGTCCTAGTAGGTGTGGGTATATGTATCCGAGTGATGACTGATGGTCTTTCTGAGTGAATAAATCACCTCTCAGTCACTAGGGGTATAAGGAATTTCTGCTCTGAAATGGGTGACTTTTTACCAAATGCTGATGTCTCAAGTCAGGGTCTGATGCCCACCAAGACAGATCTGGGAACAAACTGAAACTCTCTCCTCCTCAGAGCCAGACCATCTACCTCTAAGCAATTTTCTATCCTATGGGTAATCTGCCTATGTCCACCCAGGGAGGCTGAGCAGTGCTTCCCTGCCCCTAATGCCCAGGGGACCTACTGTCTCTTTTCTGAGCTCTGTGTTCTGTGTCCCTGACCCCTGGACCAACGTGTGTGTCACAGTGCCATGGCCTTTGTTTCTCCCACAGAGTGGGCCATAATGAGATCATAGGAGTCTGCCGGGTCGGGATCAACGCCGAGGGTCTGGGCAGGGACCACTGGAACGAGATGCTGGCGTATCCGCGGAAGCCCATCGCTCACTGGCACTCCTTAGTGGAGGCAAAGAAATCCTTCAAAGAGGTGGGTGAGGTCACACTTGGCCTCTGGCATGATTGTTGCATGACAGTGTGGGCTGGAGAATGGCAGGCACTGCTTCCAGACCCTGGCTTTTGGGGGTCCTCCCCAAGGCAGATTTGGGGGCTTCTCACCTGGCTAGGGACGAACAGGAAGGGAATGAGGTGAGGGAAGGAAAGGACCTCAACAGTAGCCTTTGAGGTTGAGTGTACTGAGAGCAGTGTTGACTTCTAAATGGAAAACACAAAGAGGAAGGAACCCCTCCCAGCAGCGCCACCTTGCCAAACCAGAAAGCTTTCACAAAGTCCCCCCGGAGACAAGTCAGCCCTTTAGGAGAAGCCCCACAGGAATGAGATCAGAACTGGCAAGAAATTCGACCAGTGTGGAAACAGGAAGTTCTCTGAGGCTGAAGCAGACAGTCTGTAGCAGTTCTTACTCCAGGGCTGGGGAGCGCCAAGAGCAGGCCCTGTTTGCTGGCATGGCGTCCCATGGGGGACCTCAGCTTTGCTGGAGAAGAGAGCATGATCTGAGGGTGTCCTGCTCTCTGGCCAGGTCTTAGCAGACACAATGGACAGTGCATTGCCTGGAAATCTCAAGACTATCTTCTAATGTTAGCCCTGCTGACTTCCTTAAAAAACCCTGAACTAGTCATCTCTCTCTCTCTCTTTCTCTCTCTTTCTCTCTCTCTTTCTCTCTTGTTTTGGTGGCATACCCAGTAGTGCTCAGGGCTTACACTTGACTCTGTGCTCAGGCATCATTGCTGACAGCATCCCAGGACCATATGAGGTGCCGGGGATCAAACTTGGGTCATCCATGTGCAGGCCCTACCCCACTGTATTATCACTTCAGCCTGCCAGCCATTTCTCTCCTAGTTACAAAGAAAATGTCCCTCCTAAGAAGTCTCCCCAGCTCCACCAAACCATTTGGCCTTCAGGTCCTGCCATTGGTCACTACGGTGGTTCCCCAGGCCTGCCCTTTTTCAAATGAGTAGAGACATGAGGATGTTCCAGTAATTTCAAAGTTTGTTTTCAGTCCTTCATATACCAGTATCTAGGCTGGAAGGCTGGGGACATGAGCTACAAACCCTTCACCTGACTTCACAGGGTTATGTAAGCCTAGAATGTTGTATAAAACTGGAATATCTACCAATATGGAACAAAAAAATTCAATGCCTTCCATTACATCCCTCCACTTAAAAAGCAGAGTCACATTAGAAGGAAAGTCCTCCTTTCCATATGCTCTATGACACAGAAAGTGTGGGTAACAAGTGGGCTTCCCTTGCCTCAGAGCGGGCATGCTCAGTCCTGTCTCCTGTCTCCTTCCAATCTGAGAAGGGACCTAAGGGAAACAACCATGTGGGATCCTGTGAGACTGAGGCCAGATGGAGCTGAACTCATTGATTTCCTGCCCCTGGTAGACATGTGCTCGGTGCAGCCCCTGGTCTGCGCCTTTGAGGTCAGTGTGAAAGAAGAAGGTATGACCACCAAGTTTCTGTCAGCTGGAGGCCTCACATCTCTGTCTTGTGCTCGCTTTAGTTTTACCTCAGCTGTGGTGTTTTAATGATCCCTCCCAGTCAGTGCCTGGTCTCTCTGACTCTCCTCCTCAGGAGGAACCCCCATCTCCAGGCAGCCTTCTCTGAGAGACTGTATGCATGTACCATCCCACCAGTGCTTCTACCCACCCAAGAGGCAGTAACAGGTAGGACTGAAGAGCCCCTGGAGCCTTTGGGTCTCTCACTGAGCACAGGGTTGGATCAGCCCAGAATTCCTCCTCTCCTGTTTCAAATCCTTTCAAAATATTTAAGAACAGAAAAAATCATCTTAATGCTCATGATAGTTCAGGGGCAGGAGGAGGGCATAGGGTTAAGAGGCATTGGGAAGCCTCTGGAGCCGCAGCCACACTCCACTCACTCAGGCTTCAGTTTCCTGGTTGATAAGATGAGGGGCAGGCTCCTCTCATGCTCGCTTTTCCAGAAAACTCTTTTTTTCTTCATTGTTACAGGATCTTTATTAACTTAAAACTGTCTTTTTTATTTATTTTATTTTTTTTATTTTTATTAGTGAGACATCATGAGGTACAGTTGTAGACTTACAAATTTTTGTGCTTGGGTTTCAATTACAATGATCAAATACCCATCCCTCCGCCAGTGCCCATTTCCCACCACCACGAATCCCAGTATCCCTCCCACCCCTCAGTACTCTAGAAAACTCTTGAGCCCAAATGATGACTGAGGGGATGAGTGAACCTCATCTTGGAGTGCCTTTTTAGACTTGAACCCATCGCCACCCCTCTCTGCTGCTGCATTGCTGTGCATGCAAACTGGCAGCAGGTCAAGTTGGGGGCAGGGCGCAGAGAGCACAGAGGGGCTGGGACTGGGTCACAGAAGCACCCTCCATGGTGAATTCAAGCTAATTCAACCAAAGAACTGATTCTAAGTTCAGTTTCTTTGAGAACTCAACTCACCAATTCAGACTACAGAAGAAAGAATCAGCCCTTGGAAATGAATATTTAACAGGATGTAGAAGGAAATTAACAGTATATGGAAAGTAAAAAGTGAATAAATTGATTCCAAACTTCTGACCTCACACACCCTACTTGGAGGCTCCTCATCTCTTGAGCTGGGTGGCCCCTTTCTCGCCTGAGAAAGCTTAAGGAAGCTTAAGATGACTTTGGTCTTGGCACCTCAGGATTTCATCAATATAAATCTGTGGACAATTTGTTCCTGCCCTTTTAGCACCCACAGTTTAAGCATCTTTATTAAAAATGCATCAAAAAAGCACGGGGCTAATAGTAAGTAACTCTCTGTGCTCCCATGATGCATTATCCTTTCAGCTCACTCATCCTCAGAGTTCACATCTTGCCTTTCTGGTTCCTGTTCTGGACACGAAGCTAAAGGCTTGTCCCTGGAACTTGATTCTGCCCTTTGTATAATGCATGAAGAAATCTTCCTTTCCAATTCCTGCAAGATAAATGGCACAGGCTCTGCGAAGGATGCGGAATTTGTATTACACCTTTCTGAGAGGAGTTTCAAGTGTTATGGTTATTTCCTTTTTATTAATGAAAACAAAGGGGACCACAGTTGCTTGCTTGTTTGGGGTTTGAAATAAGGTTGAGGGGAACAAGTGAATCAAAACAGCGCTTTGCCCTGCCAGGATTTTTCTTTTTACGAATAAAAATTGATTAAACCACCAGCGGTATCTTTGTCTGTGAGCACAAACGAACCCCTCCTTCACAGTTCTCCTGCCTGGTGCTGGGCGAGGGAAGGGATTGGTGTCCCCACATGCAGACCCGGTAGACTAGCAACCTCCTCCAACGTGTTCTATGACAAAGGGCCACGTTCAGATCATCTGCGGAGGATTTCAGATCTCTGTGGAACAGGCCCCATTTCAGAACAATGAAGATCATCCTGGAACACAGCCACCCTCAACGATTCATTCCTATGGTGTGGGGCCAGTCTCTGCTGTTTCAGAGCCACCAGAAAAGCCTCTTTCACCTTGCTTAGTGCATGAACTCCATCTCCTCCCTTTGTTTATCTTCACAGAAAAAAATCAGGGCTACCTGGGGAGCCAGTGCGCCTTTTCCATTTGTCCTCGATAAGCCATTATGCCCCTTGTTACTTCTCTTGGGTTATTACATAAAGAGGAAATCTGTACTCTTTGTGGTCACCACCTTCTCCCTCCAAACTGGCCCATCAGTCAGGCTGCTGAAGCATCATGCTTACCCAAGGGAGAAGCCAGTAATTGCCACTTACTTGTTACCAATTTGAAACTTGTAACAGAAAAAATAGAGCTTCCCAGATGAAGGAGTGGTCCATGAGAGCTAATTGTCATATGTCACCTTCCTTCTGGTGAGGAAACGGGAGTCAGCACTCACCAGGAGCTCAACAAGCAGGCATTTATTTATCTAAACTATTTCACCAGGGAAACCCTCGGTTGTGATTTCATTCACGTGGATGCTGCGAGCAGAGAGACTGGCACCTGGAGTTAGGAGTAAGTACCTGGTGTGGACCCAATGAGGTTAAGTTTCTTCTTATATTCTATGTCTTCTTCTCCCCAAGTGTGGCCAGCTGGCAAAATGACAGCAGGATTGAGTGGATGGAGCACTGAGTTGGAGTTAAGAAGTCTGGTTTTGGATTCTGGCCCTGCCCTGTTATCTGTGATTGACTTCTTGGTGGTTTTCTCCCCTTCTCTGCAAAAGTGAGCATGTTAGTAGGGATGAGCCTGAAGCCTATCTGAGCTTCAGCATACCAAGATCACTTAAGGCCCCTAACCTCTCCATCTCACTAGGATTGCCAGCACTCTGCTAGTTGTAAGGATCTCCTGATTAGCCCCTACAAGACATAGTAAAGGTCATGGGAAATGGAGCTAGAAATTAGTGAGAAGGGCAACTTGGAACAAAGAGCTGAGTCTTTCCTCAGCATCTACTTCAGATCAGAAGCTGGATGGCAAATTGTGTTTCTTTCTCTGTTGGTTCCGTTCTGGAAATGGCTGTGTTGAAGGGTAACCGAGTCCTTCCCCATCCCTCCCCATACATACACAAACTCAGCATTGCAGCTTCTACCCAACTCTCCTCACTGCATAAGAACCCTAAGATCCAGGAGAAGGAGTCCCCTCAGGCTCATAAGGGCCACCTGCCCTGTCTTCAGGAAGCCTGTGCTGAGGCGCCTGAGATAATATGGGGTCTCCTCAGCTCACAAAAGGAGGGAGCAAGCAGAGAACACCAATTTGTACCAAATGGATCAAAAATCTTCACAGGGTTCGTTCAGGGCTCAGTTCTAACTGGTCTCTCAGTTTAAAGGACTGACTGGCTCCAGCGCGGGCCTTTCCAGTCATCAACCTCTCCATTGCTCCTACCACATCACCCACTTTCACACAAAGGGAGGCTACCTGTGAGACAGGAGAGCTGAGGTGAAAAGGAAATGGAAAAGGCTGCCCTGACCCCATCCCTCTGCCTCCAACAACAGCCTGTGTGAATGCCCTTGGGAAGCGTTAGAACCAGAGAACAGAGCCCAAAACTAAAGCAACATTGGGGTTTTTTGCTGTCCTAACAGCTCCAGACAAACTGCTAATAATTCATGATCTTGGGTTCTTGGCAGTAAAGGCACATTCTACTGTCAACCTGTCCTCCTCATGGAATCTGATTTTCGGTGTGAAAAATGGCTGAAGTCCTCTGAAACAGTTCAGTCAGAGCACCTCATTAAAGCCGAGAGAAGAAAGCGTTAATTAGCACTGCGGTTGGCCTTGCTGTACATTTGTTCGCAAGCAGCTCTCTTCCATACTAGGGGCACTAGCTGTTTGTTCTTGTTCCCCTTCTGTCTTTGTCTCTGCATGGCTGATGGCACAGATCATGGAAGCTTATAAAGACCCTGGAAAGATTAATTCAGTGCATGGTCAGAAAAGTCTTATAAGTTGCTGGCTCTATTCCTTGGACAGGTTGCTCGTTGATATCTCTCTCTCTTTTCTCTCTCCCTCCTCTCTTCCTCCCTCTCTCTCTCTCCCTCCCTCTCTCTCCCTCTTTCTGCCTTTCCCTCCCTCCCTCCCTCTCTCCCTCTCTCTCCCTCTTTCTCTCTGCCTTTCTCTCTCTCTCTCTGTCTCTCTCTCTCTCCCTCTCACTCCTTCTCCCTGACAGTGGCAGGGCCGAGCCGCCAGCTTTGACAGCGAGAGCTCGTGTCCGTCTCCGAAACCACCTCCGACACCATGAGTCGCCTGGCTGAGCGACACACACCGGACTCAGAAACGTTCATTTTGCACTTGTTCAACCGTCTAAACAGTGTTGTAAGGTGGTGGTGGCGGTCGCGGCGTCCTTGGCGCTCTTTCTCCAGATTCTTCACTGCGCCCTGTGTAGGTCAAGGCCGAGACACTTGTCATGTGTTCAGATCTGTCTTAGTCTTGTCTGTCTCCCCAGGTGATGTTTTATGTGGTTTTTTCACTTCTTATGAATCTGTGACACAAGAGAAGGGGGGGTGGTTTCAAACAGGGGCAAAATGGCAAGAGTTGAGAACTCAGAAGTTTTTTCCACCCGAGACAATGTACATTATTAGTTCAGGGAGGTGAGCAAAGCCTCTGAATTTTGCCTCCCTCAAACTAGTGAAGAAGCAAGTGGCAATGAGCAAGTGTTGCTTTTTCTGGGCTCTGCTGGAATGGGGTGGATAGATTGAAGACACTTCCCAGCAGTTCTGACTCTTGGTCTCTCAGAGCCTGTGCTTGGACAGGGTCACCAGGCCCTGGTCTCATGTCAACAAGGGGCGCCATCGGCAGGGACTGCGGGACCCATCCTCATTCCTGCTCCTCATGAATTGATTGTGGCTCCACTCCTGTGAACTTGGTCCCTTTCTTTAGGAATGATTCTGCAAAATAAATCTTGCCATATGTCCCCTGACACTCCACAGTCAATGACCATATTTGTTTGAAAATAAGATCATTGTTCTCAAAAATAACCTGCATTTAAAAAAAAAAAAGGTGGCACCTCGGCCCCCAGAGTGATTTCTGCATTATATATAGCTTTATAATTCCCCGAAGTACCAAGCTGTTGTATCAAATGCTTACACACACAAATCAAAGAAAACCCAAGATGAAATGTTCCTTTCTGAGTTGGGGGGATTGATTGAAGGGGACAGGGAGTGGGGATGAAATACAAGTCACAGCTGAGGTCCATCTTTTTATGGAATTGTCTTCTAGATTAACACTGAGTCAGCTTAAACCTATCTCAGCCCACCTGACTCCAGCACAATATTTATTTAAAACTTTAGTTCTAGAAATTACTAAGTATTTCAATGTTGTTCATTTTAGTAGTAGTGAAGAGTTGTTTTGTTCTATTCTCTTTAGATCTCTACCTTAGGACAAATTCAGTTTAGGAAAAAAAATTAAACTTCTGTATTGAAACCATGTTTCTGTTGAGTTCCTAGTGGCCTTCTCACCAGTCCTTGCATCATTAGATCAATCCGCTCAGCCTGCTTAGCCCTGGTCTGCGTGTGCTCTCCAACCCATATCTACTCAATGCTGACTCCCTGAGTTGTGTGTGTGACTGACTGACTAGCAGAAGGCCAGCCTGTTAAAAAAGGCCTTCTCAAACACCACAAGATCAAGAACTAAACTCCACTCACACTCCTTGTGTCTTATTCTTGATTTACATCACTTGCTTTGGGGAAAACAACCCCAAACAGCCTCCTTTTAAGCCCAGTTATTAGGTTTCTCTGCTGATAGAACTCTTGGGTTTCCTCTAACTTTAGATAGGGGGGTCTCTGGATATGAAGGTAAAAGAAGTTTCTAGCTTGAAAAAAAACTGTGGACTGGAGGGATAGCTCAGTGGATAGGGCGCTTGCCTTGCACATGACTGACCAGGTGTTAACCCTGGCATTCCATATGGTCCCCTGAGCCCACCAGGTTAGCCAGGAGTAACCCCTGGGCATCAGTGGGTGTGGCTCAAAAACAAACAAACAAAAATATATGAACCAACACTCCCCCTCTAGGGAACCTTATGCTAGCATTGGGCTAATGTATCATTGGTGGAAAAGTTGTTTCTCCAGAACGGCTTGTGGCTGGGGGTGCTGCAGCCAGATTCTCTATTCAAAGTCAGAAAACCCCAGTTCTCACTCCACTCTGACACTTGCCTTTGGATGGATACCCTTAAGATACTCTGTTCAATCACCACACAGAAACATGGCGTTCTACAAATCTGGAGAGGACGGTTGGGTTCCTGGGGCATCAGGACTCCAGCAAGGTGTGTGAAGGGGCCTTTCTGGAAATGAACTCTGAATGCATGTCAGCATCGGGAATGTTGCCCAGAGGTAGAGCATGCTTCTGGCATGGGCAAGATGCTGGGCTTGATCCCCAGCACAGAAAACCATGAAAAAAAAATAAAAGCCTGGTCAGTTGTAGTCACCTTCAGACCCCAGGCATAGCAGGATAGTTACTCTCCCCTTTTCAAGACAGGACTGTGTTTAGCAAGTCTCCTAATCAGTGCTCTCAGATTCCTCTGGAGCCCAGTAAGCTGCCCAACCTGCTTAAGGACCCCACTGGAAAATTATTTCCTGAGCAAATTGTGGAGCCCACCACCACTCCCACCCAACCTCAGCCTAGTCAATGGCAACTACTCCTGCTCCACCATAGCTGTCAATTTCTACAAACTCTGGAGCACACCTGTGGGAGATCTCAGATCCTGGACCCCACCTTTAGTGCTCTCAGGGGAGGACTGCCTCCACCTGAAACCGAAAGGTCAGCCAGCTTCATTATCAACCCCATCCCTCTCCCTCTCAGACCAGGAGGTTCAGAATAAATGGAAAATGAAATCCAGAGTTGATTCATTCATTAGCATCCTCAGCCTTGAGAAGCCTCCCGGGCAGCTGTGAAGTTGTGCTAACCAGAACCTTTGACATGTAGAATCTTTTTTTCCCTTCTTAATGCAAAGTTCCCTTCTCCTTTATTTAGCAGTATTCCTGGGCTGAAAGCTGCCTCTCCCCCACCTTGCATACTGGAGTTGTTAATTAATTGCCTCATCATTTAAAAAATTATGTTGTTAATTACTGCTTTGTGTCTTCCCACCCCTGGTCACAGCCTGGAGTTTTTATTCAATTAAATCTGTCTCTTGCCCATTCTCTTGTCATTGTGTGTTCCTGAGCTTCCACAGTCGGCACACACCCCTGAGACACTGCAAAGCTTCTGTTCCTAAGCTTCGGTTCCCAGCGCTAACCCCTTCCCTTCAATGGATGGCTTTCTGGACTTCTGTTCTGGCCACGAGGCTATTCGGGGAAGCTCCTGTCTCAGGGGTCAGTGGGTGCAAAGGCTCAGCGGGGTCCCTGGCCCTTCTTTCGACACACCGTTCCTTCAGCAGCCTCTGGGGGCAGTAGAGAGCAGAGCGCGAGACACCCACCTGCTGAGGAATCCTGCGGAAAAAGCAACTTGGCAGAAAGGTGAGAAAATCTGAGAGTGGGACTCGAAATTTAAACAGAGCCATCTCACTTTATGGAAGACTTTCTCTGCTTGTTCCTAGTGTTTATGATTAATTTAGAAAGCAGCCCCAGAGAGGAGAGTGAAGGGACCATCCTACATGCACCCGTGGGCCAGTGGGAAACCCGGAGGCAGCAGGCTGCTGAGAGAAGCACTTGGTTTTCTCGGACTTCAGCACTCCCCCAGGCAGGATCGGGGAGGTAATGGGCTTATCTGGACCTCATCAATTTACAGGTCTACGAGACTAGGCTGGGCAACATGAAAAACACTCAGGTGGGGACTGGAGAAATAGAGAAATTAGAACATTTGTCTGGTATACAGCCCAGCTGGGTTTGTATCCTGGACACTGCAACTGGTCCTGCAGGCACTGCCAGAGCGAACCCTGAGCACAGAGTGAGGAGTAAGCCCTCATGTTCCCCCACACTCCACTGGTAGCAACCACCAAGCATGAAGCCAAAGGTAGCTCCTGAATATTAAGGGATGAAGTATGAGGCCTACTCGCCACTCCTTCCTTGGACAGAAAGGAAAGGAGGGAGAGAGGGAGGAAGGAAGGTAGGAAAGGAGAGAGGGAAGGAAGAAGTAAGGAAGGGAGAGAGGGAGGGAGGGAGGGAGGGAGGGAGGGGAGAAAATGAGGGAGGGAGAGAGGGGAGAAAATGAGGGAGGGAAAGAAAGAAAGAAAGAAAGAAAGAAAGAAAGAAAGAAAGAAAGAAAGAAAGAAAGAAAGAAAGGGAGAAACCCTTCTGATACCAGTCACTAAAGGTAATTCATTCTTTGCTCATGTTGGAAGAACTAGATGGGGGACTCTGCTTAGGGGTCTTGGAGTGACTGATAGTCCACATCTGCAGCATTGCTTTCAGGCCCTCAGGATGGTCTCTCACCAATATAAATGCACTGATCCAGAAGGAAATACGTCACTTCCCCTCATCTTCATGTCCCACATCAGCCTCCCAAACCTAGAGGGTTTGAGCAACCAGAGGAAGAGAAAACTGGGAATATTTGGAATTAATCTTCAGAAGCCATGGAGGTCTTAGCTCTGTGGAGGCTGACAGTGCCTGCACAGCTAGTCCAGAGACATAAAGAGGAGCTGTTCCCTTACGGGGCTGGGAGACCAAAGACACAAGATAGAGCTGTGTGCAGGCAGACTCCCTGTGTCCTGCCCCATCACAATCCATTCCCCCACCCAACACACACACACACACACAAATAGTTTCAGTCTTGTGAACTGGCAACACAAGTAATCTCTGTCCACAGGAGAATATGGGAAATTCAGTAAGGAAAGTGCATCTTATATCAGCCTTTGAAGCGGAAAATATTTCAGATGTGCAGTTTAGAAGGAGGAGGGGACATTCTAAGCCAAAGGCTGCCTATAAGTGAGGAGTCAGAGCAGGGGGATTCCCGGAGCTGCAAAGTACTCTGAGTCTGGGAACAACAGTTGCACCTGTTGTTCACACCCACCTGTTTGTACCCATCAACCCAGGCCAGAACCAGAATTCTGCCCCAGGAGCCCTCCTTTCCTTTGGCGTAGCCTGGTTTGCTCCTCATGTGCACAGTCGGTCTCTACCCATGCTGATTCTGACACTTCTAGCCAGCCACAGGTCACCCACTTATTCTGCCTCAGCTCCTAGGACTGTTTGTTCCTCAGCCAGAAACCAGTTGGGTAGTTCTGCTGTGTGCAGAGCCCCTCCCCTCAGGGAGAGCACACCCAGGTAGTCTCTGCAACAGGGCAGGGGTGGCCTCGGGCTGGTTCCTGCCTGCAGACCTACAGGAATTGAGGAGGCGAGGTGACCAGCAGGCAGTGGTCTGCTCAAGAGGCCCAGAAGCTGAGCGCAGGATAAGGGCGCCCAGGATGCAGGGAGTGTGGAGAGAAATGGGACAGTGCTCATCACTAGGCGTCTGGGAGATGGGGAGCAGAAAGAGTGATTCAAAATCATATATTTCTCCACTTGAGGCACTCAAAGTAGTGTAGTACTGCCGTTAGAAAGCAGAAACCCAAGGTCCAGAGCAATAGTATAGCACAGAAGGTGCTTGCTTGACTTGCATGCACTGACCCAGCACCACATAAAGTCCCCCAGACACTGCCAAAAGTGATCCTTGAGTGCAGAGTCGGAAATAATCCCTGATCACAGTCAGGTGTGGCCCCAAACCAAAACTAAATGAACAAAGGCAGAAACTCATCAGAACAAGGGAAAACAG